AATCACATATTTACCCAAACAACTACGCTGAATAATAGACTTTCATTATCTGACCTACAGAAGGAGATCTGTTGTGGCTTTGAGGAGAAATAAATAAGTAATACAATGCTTAGGAAGCGGAACTACAATTTAAAGGTTTCATTATGTCTCGTGCATCTTTTAAAATATGAATTTTGATTGAAATACTTGTTCCAGACATTCATAAACTCTTGAGGGAGCCCGGATACGCCACATCTGTCTGTCAGTCTATATGCTTCACACTCCATATGTTTCATGCATTCCATACTGTACGTTTACACTCCTGGAAAATATCACAGATCAAAAACAGCATCTGTCTTCCCCTCTTCCTAATGGAAGGAAGGTTCAAAGGGTCATTATCTGACAAACAGCATGCTCTGATCTCAGCCTTGGCTGTTAACCTCTGAAAACATGTTGTTCATACTATGAGCTACACATATGCAAACATAAGCATGACTGCAGCTGAAAGTTCATTGTGTTCGCTTCGAGGTGCGTTACTAAATGGTTGGAGCTTTGAAGCGTATATACAGTATTTTACTCCAGAGAGACAGATATACATTAACTTGTAAACTAGCATTTAATAGCATTTAAATTGCAGTTAACTCAGCAGCTGGTGGGATTATAATGAAAATGTAGTTCAGCTAACCTTAATGTGAGAGTATACTGAGAGTATACTTATTAAAAAATAATGGTTCTTTATTGGCAACTATGGCTCCATGAAGATCCTTTAACATCCATTAAACCTTTTCATTGTGCAGAAGGTTCTTTATAGTTCAAAAAGTTTCTTTAGATTAGAAAAATCCTTTTGGAGTCTTATTTTTAAGAGTGTATAATGAAATTCAGCGGGGTTCTGTGTTCTTTTGGACACCATTGACTTTAATGGAATGGAAGAAAACAGTTGCGATATTTTTTAAAATATCTTCTTTTGTGTTCCACAGGAGAAAGAAAGTCATACAAGTTTGGAATGACATGAGGGTAAATAAATGATTTTCAATTTATGGTGAACTATCCCTTTAAGCATGACGCAAGCCTTAAATGTGCTTTAATCAGCACATTTGACATGCTCTTCAATGTCATTCAGCAAACTCCATCATACAGATTAATACTGACTCTTCTTTCAGGGTTAATGTGAGGTATACACTACATTAAACACTAATAAGTATGGTGCTTTGTCATGCACGACTAAGAAGGTCTTGGGTGGTTAAGATGTGGTTGCTATAATGTGTTCTGAGTGATTTGTAGCACATTACTATATGGTTGCAAGGTGTTGACCCTCCATCAATGAAAGTCTATGGCTGTATCTCAAATGACATACTGTACACCAGTGGTGCCCAATCCTGGTCCTGGAGAACCCCCAACACTGCACATTTTAGATGTCTCCCTAATCAAACACACCTGATTCAGCTTATCAGCTCATTAGTAAATACTCCAAAACGTGTGTGCGTGCGTGTCAGATAAAAGAAACAGTACACAGGCAGTATACTGAGATAAGGCAACACAAGGCATGTCCGAATCCAAAGATAGTGTCACAACCTGAGTACTAAAATACCTTCATATGATCGGTTGAGCTAAAAAATACAAAATAGAATCTGAAAGTTGCGGTTTTTGGTCAGTTTCTGTAAAAAAGTGTTTTTGACCAACTTTTTCCACGTTTGATTTAATTTATAGCAACAAATTAATATTGTATGTTATTAAATATTCGCTTAGTTATCACCAAAGCTCTCTCTCTCTTTCTCTCTCTCTGTTTTTGTTGTAATTCCTTTATCCTTTAACCTTTATGTTGCCTCTGAAGTCTATCTGAAATTAAATGTGTGTAAACGCTGCCTGCAAAGTCATTGCCTCATAGGGCAGCAAGGAAACAAGTCAGCTGCCTAAGCTTTCGGACACAGCCTTAGAGAGCTAGGTGAGTTTGATCAGGGTTGAAGCTAAATTCTGCAGCAAAGCTGCCTAGCCATTAAGTATGCAGATTAGGATGCACATTTTCTTTCACATATTTTATTGTTTTCCATCTGCAAATCATAAATCTGATCACTTAGAAAGGTCTAAACAAAGAAATAAGCACAGTAACATTGAGACCGAGCCTTAGTTTAAATTGAATGGCTAAGAAGTATGGTTTTACTTGAGCTAACTATAGCCTGACTGGAGTGCTATTAATGGTGATAGTGAAAGTGATTGAAAAAAGAAGCAAGACTCACAAGAAGGTTACAAGTCCTGTCATTGAATCATAACTGAACCTGAAAGATTAATATGAGGGTTTTACAGACATTTTACAGACTGACGTTTCTGTCAACTAACACTCACAGTATCACCAGATCTAAGCAGAGGCCTTGAACTCATATTGTTGCCTCTCTCAATCACCCATATCATTCTTCAGATTATTTCAGTGCTATTGGAAAATTATGGATGATTCTGGCAAGAGTGTTTTCCCCCTCGCCCCAAAAATTGCAAGAATGTCTTTGATAAATTCATAAATTCTCATGATGTGTGTAATCATCTCAAGAGTGCAAATGTTCTTTTTTTTGTTTTTTTTTGTGATGAAAGCAGATGCGTGTCAAAAAGCAGCTGTCTGATTGACTGCCTGTTCAATTCTAATGTTCTATTTCTTATTTACGCTTCTGTTAATCCTGCATATGGACTCGGGCTCTGATTCGTAATGTGTTTTCTGGTTAAATATTAGCCTGTTGCGCAGTAATGGGGGATTCTGGGGGATTCTTGCGAGTGGAAATGAACAACATTCTGATGACATTCGGTGTTTGCTGAGAGATTATGAGGATCACATTCAGCAGCACAAAGCATATATTTTCACAGCTCAGCTTTATTTGGAATTGCTGAGAACATTAAGCCAAGGAAACGGAGCGTGGTGGCAATACCGGTTGCAGACAGCCAAACACTTTAACATTAGTTAATTAAATAGGTATACTACTAATTATTTTTTATTTTTTAAGAAATTAATACTTTTTTTCCCAGCATGAATGCATTAAATTTGAGAGACAGTAAAGATGTTTATACTTTCTATTCATCAAAGAATCCTGAAAATAATGTTTTATGGTTTCCACAAAAATATTAACATTTCAACATTGAAAATAAATAATACATCTTTCTTGAGCACCAAATCAGCATATTAGAATGATTTCTGAAGGATCATGTGACACTGAAGACTGGAATAATGGCTGGTGAAAATTCATATTGGCCATCACATGAATAAATTACACTTTAAATTATATTCAAATTGAAAACACTAATTTTAAATTATAATTTTTTTTCACATTACTGTTTTTTACTGTATTTTTGGTCAAATAAATGCAGCCTTGTTGAGAGCTTAAGAGACATTATATATACATACATACAAACAAACACACACACACACACACATTTACATATACATTTTCAGGATTTCAAAGTTGTATGAACTATGTTAGGTAAATGTATTATGAACAAACATGAATTAACAATGATCAATGGTATATTTATATATTAACCTAGATCAATAAATATTGTAAAAAATGTTGGATTCTAGTTAATGATACCTAATACTTTATATTAACAAATCAAACCTTGTTCTAAAGTGTCACTGAAAAAAAAAAACTGAAATCTTTCTCACCATGAAGCATCTCTGCTGGAACAGATGGTCTTTTGTCATTTACAATGAATGCATTGGTCCTTGAATGTAGTGAGGAGGATATGAAAACTCTGAACACATAAATGCTGGGAAAATAAACTTTATTAGACCACTGCATCCAATTAATCTGTTAATAAAGTGCAGAATTTGGAGGCTGTATAAAAGAGCTGCCCTCAAAAGGGAGAGAGATCAATTTTGTTTTTATTAATAGTTTATGTGCTAGAACTGCCACAGGAAAAGCAAGCAAAAACAGCAACAGAACAATTTTAGTGGCCATTTCTACACAGTGTCTAGAAGAATCACCTGGTCTGATTCACACTCACACTCTCCAAGTGCATGATCTGCAAGCACCTGATCTATGATGTACCAGCCAGCTTTAGAAACACATTGTAGTTCCATTTTTAATACCTAACAGCACTAAAAGACTATAATTTCAAAAAACATTAATATGTAGATGTAAATGGCTCATGATTCCATTCCACAAAATACTGAACACTGAAATTAATGTCACCGCTTGATTTCCAACACAATTTATTCATATAAAGTGTATTGCTCATGGAAAAGGCACTTAAGCCTGGTAAACAATAATAAATAATGCCAATTAAATAGCATTAAGTCTGACTGCTCATTTACAAGACAGTATCATACGGTTAAGAAACAAAATGTGCAGTGCGGGAAATAATAATAATATCAGCCAACCCAACCATGAAGGGCTGTCAGAGCAGCTGACACTGGCTACATGTTTACACTATGCTGCATAATTTCAAATATTATTGTGTGAGAGCATGTGAGTGACTGACTGAAGATGGCTGATAATGATATCAGGCTATTTAACAAGCTTAATTAAGCATGTGAAACATAGCAGAACCACAAAAATATTGCTGATGAGAATGAGGCACTTTGTTCAATATTTGTCAAGATTTAACAGTCAGATCCTGATTCTACAATTAGTACTTGCAATCCGTCATTAGCCTGATGACGAGCATATGAAGTGTCTGATTACTACAGTATGTGTTAACTGCGGGATGTGATTTGAATGTTAATGGGATATTCTCCTAAAAAATCATTTACTCACCCTCATGCCGTTCTGTTTTTCTTCTATGGAAAACAAAGGGAGGAAAAAATTTTTTTTGTCTATATAATGAAAGTCAGTGGGGTCCAAAACTATGGAAGCTTGTTTCTGGAATATAAAAATAAAAAAGGTAATTCTGACATTTTTCCTCTCACAATTTGGACTTGTGAAAAAAGCCAGAATTGTTAAAAAAAAGGTGCGAGATAAAATTGTATGATAAATTCACAATTTTTTTTATTTATTCTGTGGTGCAACAACATGATGGTTAGTAAATGACAATTTTCATTTTTGGATGACCCAAAATGAAAATTCTGTCAACATTTACTCACCCTCAAACATCTATGACTTATTTTCTCCTGAGGAACATAAAGGAAGATATTCGGAATAATGATGGTATCAAAACTGATTTCCCACTGACTTGCATTGTAATTTTTGTCCGTACAATGTAAGTCAACAGTAACTGAAATTGTTTGGTTACCAACATTCTTCAAAATATCTTCTTTTGTGTTCCACAGAAGACAGAAAGTCACACAGTTTTGGAGCAACAAGAGGATGCGTATATGATGACAGAATTTTCATTTTTGGGTAAAGTATCCCTTTAAATGTGCTCCAAGATCCTTTGGGTGGACACTTGTTTTAAAAGGCATGCTCAAGCATCACAGCAACAGAACCTTCCTCAGATGTGGAACCAATCAGAAGAGGCTGTTTGAAGGACACTGCCTTCATCATACAAGCCTCAGAAAGGCAGCAGTAGACCTATTGGCCATCACATGAATAAATTACACTTTAAATTATATTCAAATTGAAAACACTAATTTTAAATTATAATTTTTTTTCACATTACTGTTTTTTACTGTATTTTTGGTCAAATAAATGCAGCCTTGTTGAGAGCTTAAGAGACATTAACATTAAAACATCTTACCAACCCAAAACTTTTGAACAGTAGTGTATAATTAACGGACAATATACAATACTTTTACACCATTTATTAATCAGGGTAATTCTGACATTTTTCCTCTCACAATTTGGACTTGTGAAAAAAGCCAGAATTGTTAAAAAAAAGGTGCGAGATAAAATTGTATGATAAATTCACAATTTTTTTTATTTATTCTGTGGTGCAACAACATGATGGTTAGTAAATGACAATTTTCATTTTTGGATGACCCAAAATGAAAATTCTGTCAACATTTACTCACCCTCAAACATCTATGACTTATTTTCTCCTGAGGAACATAAAGGAAGATATTCGGAATAATGATGGTATCAAAACTGATTTCCCACTGACTTGCATTGTAATTTTTGTCCGTACAATGTAAGTCAACAGTAACTGAAATTGTTTGGTTACCAACATTCTTCAAAATATCTTCTTTTGTGTTCCACAGAAGACAGAAAGTCACACAGTTTTGGAGCAACAAGAGGATGCGTATATGATGACAGAATTTTCATTTTTGGGTAAAGTATCCCTTTAAATGTGCTCCAAGATCCTTTGGGTGGACACTTGTTTTAAAAGGCATGCTCAAGCATCACAGCAACAGAACCTTCCTCAGATGTGGAACCAATCAGAAGAGGCTGTTTGAAGGACACTGCCTTCATCATACAAGCCTCAGAAAGGCAGCAGTAGACCCAGGCGTCGAGCGTCAGCGTGGGGTCTGTGGACGCAGGGGCCACTGGGATTGATGAGACGATCGAGATGGGTTCAGAGAGATCACTGATGCTCCCCGTCACAGTTCGCCCTTCCAGTAACCACTCATTACCTGCCGAGAAAAACAACACGGCTTAGTGTGCGGTCAATGGACGATTCCTGTAATGTTTGATATTTCTGGCTTATGTTTGTATGAAAGGCACTGGTTCCTAAAGCACCATGTGTTTGGGTGTAAAACAACACATATACACCTGCCAACGCAATGAAATATTCTCTGACAGTTGATGGGGACTTTTCAGTGTGCATACAAACACAATTTCAGTAGGGAATCATGTACGCTAGTGGTTCATGGTTCTGCAATGCCGTGTGAACTAGGTGTGTCACTGGCCTTGAATCAGAGGGAGGCTACTAAGACAAGTGACGGATAGAATTAGGACAGTGTCCAATCAAATGATCCCCAGTGAGACTGAACAGGAGAGGACGTGAGCAAAGACCTACAGGGCTGACCTATGTAAAACATATGCACAGAGCACAGACCATAAACTGTCAGAAAAATAATTCTATGAGGGCAAGGTTTACACATTTTTGTCAAACTCAAAATTCAATAAAATAAATGACACTATGTTTGATATTTTATCTAATCTGATATTCATAATTTTTAAATGTTGCTTAAGTGTGCAAATACCTATTTACAAATAAACTAAAAGCTGTTCTCTTTAAATTCATGCAACTATATAACTAAGCCTAGATTTAAAAAAATATATAAAATCACATCTCAATCATTCAAATGCTCACCAAAGCTGCATTTTTGATCAAAACAGTAATTATTATTACAGTAATAATATAGCAATATTACTACAATTTAAAATGTTTTCTATTTTACTATTTTGTAGAATATATAATTCATTCATGTGATGGCAAAGCTGAATGTTCAGTAGACATTCAGCATGATCCTTCAGAAATCATTCTATTCATGCTGATTTGTTGATCAAGTAACATTTCTTCTTATTATCAATGTTGAAAATGTATGTCTTAATATTTTTGTGACATTTTTATCTATGAGGGCAAGGTTTACACATTTTTGTAAAACTCAAACTGTCTTTCATTAAAATAAATGACACCATCTTTGATATTTTATCTAATCTGATATTAATTTTTAAATGTTGGTTAAGTGTGCAAATACTTATTTACAAATAAATTATAAATAACTAACAGCTGTTCTCTTTCAATTAACTATATAACTAATATTTTTTTTAAATATATAAAATCACAAGTAAATGTACATATAAAATCATAAAAATAATGGTCATATTTTTTGTCACTTTTGATGGCACTTTCCTCAAGTCTCCATTAATTTCTGACCCTGCTAATGTAACCATTTACATAATGATAATAATTTTGCCAGGAGAACAAATTACAGGAATTGAATCTCACACTTGTATTTACATATAACACACAAAACAATTAACACTATTAACTAATACACAATGCGAAGCCACCCACAAACAAGCACTCACGGTAATTTGGTGCATAATTACAGTCAATCAATCAAAGTCAGACAGAACTATTAGTTGCCTTTTCTGAGAATTTAACACCCACAGGCAATCAGGCTTTTTTGGTCCTAATGGGTGTCTTTGTTCTAATTATGCAGAGTAGCCCCCCGGGACTTTTTGTCACTTCAACTATGACCACTTTCGTCAACTAATTAGGTGCTTGTTTATTGGATTTTACAATGTTCTGGTGCGGACTGCGGAGCGTAGACAAACAACCAGTGTGATGAGCAGAAGTCGTCTCTGGTGACTGGGCTGATTATCAATCATGGAAGTTGTGCTTTCGGGTGGGATTGACGTTTTTGTGAAGAAGAACTGAGAGAAAAGAGAACAGGAAAGACAAATGTTGCAGCAGACGGATGGAGGGTGAGGCAGAAATGATGATGCTAAAAGAGAAGAGAGAGAGAGATAGGAAGGGTAAGATAGAATGAGGGGTTGACCGTGTGTTGGGATGCATAGAGCAATTGTTTATTTATCCTTGGATCATCTCCCAGTATGGCCAGCTGGTCCCTGAAGCCTGCTGAAAATGTGTGAACACAGCAATCCAGCAAAGAGAATACTACACGGAGGAGCCCCAGAGGAATAGTGTAAAAGGTGCGAAAAACTGCATGTAAACAAATGCGTTTTACATAATATGCATGGTAAGTGATTGGCATTGAGAGCTAGTAAAGATGCTCTTATTGGATACATTTGATTTTGTACCTTCTGCAGATAAGCTCCAGAAACTAGGGGCTTCTTCGGTCAGCTTGGTCCCAGCCGGTAGTGCCAATTTCAGCAAAAGTGTCACTGAGTGTCCTGAAGGAACTGTGATTGATGGCATTGTAAAGACTGGGGCTGATTTGGGAAGCTTGGGAAGCTTTCTGACCGCAGGTGTGTTGCTAGTGGCGGTTGTGAGGACAGCATCAACCTCTTGCTGAACTACAATGGGAAACTGGCGCAAAAAAAGAGAAAACAGTAAAAAAAATCGTTAAGAATGACAACTGACAAATGACAACCCACATGTAGGGACTCACCAAAGAGACAGTTTTGGTCTCCAGGTCCAGGACTTTGATGCAATGGTTGTTGGTGTCCGCCACATACAGCAGCTTTCCTTCTTCACCCAGACACAGGCCTCCGGGTTCATTGAAGCTGGACTCCAGAAAGCTCGGGCCAAGTCCGTTCCCAGCCTTCCCTGTGCCTGCAAGCACCTTGCACTGCTTAGTCTTCGGATCCACCACTTTGATCTACAACAGAGAAGCTCTTTCATGCTCGTGGAGTCAATGACCATTGGTAGTTAAACTAAGTGCTTGCCGATTCAAAAACTTGCACCATTTTTTGTGGTTAAAGGAATAGTTTTCTCAAAAATAAAAATTTGCTGATAAATTACTCACCCTCAGACCATCCAAGATGTAGAAGAGATTGTTTCTTCATCAGAACAAATTTGGTGAAATGTAGCATTACATCACTTGCTCACCAATGGATCCTCTGCAGTGAATGGGAATGAGAGCTGATAAAAAACATCACAGTAATTCACAAGTAATCCACACGACTTAAGTCCATCAATTAACGTTTTGTGAAGTAAAACTTTAAACTATTGTGAAAAAGTCCATCCCCTGTTGTCCTTAAAATCCACCTACATATTTGTTTAGAACCGTTTTGGCTTAATGGTGCTTTATCTGTGCATTTTCCTCTCCTGAATTAGACAAGACAACTTTTTCACTGGAGAAAGCAACATTAAGGATAGTCTCTCATTCTGACGGCACCCATTCACTGCAGAGGATCCATTGGTGAGCAAGTGATGTAATGCTACATTTTTCCAGATCTGTTCGGATGGGGGAAAAAACCCTTTTACATCTTGGATGGCCTGATGTGGAGCAAATTCCAGTAAATAAGTATGAGAATTTGGAAAGTTTCACAAATAAAAAGTAGAAGAGAAAAATATGAAATAACAATAATAGAATAGGTTTGATCACAAAAACATACTTTTGTCAAATGTTTTCTTTAAAAAGTGTATTTAAGCTGTATTTAAAGAGGTGGTTGATTGCGATTTCACTTTTTTAACATTAGTTAGGGTGTAATGTTGCTGTTTGAGCATAAACAATATCTGCAAAGTTACGAAGCTGAAGGTTCAATGTAAATGGAGATATCGTCTTTTAAAATTCTGTCAGTTTAATGCCTACGAAAACGGCTGGTAGGGACTACAACAAGTTACTTCCCGGGTTCGTGACATCACAATCCCAGATAAACCCCGCCCTCGGGAAAAGGCAGCAAAGGGGGCGAGGCCATGCGGCGCTGCTTTAGAGAAGAGAAAACTAGAGGTGCACGTAAAAATTCTTGTCTTCTAACGATTCTAATGGATTCACAAGTTTCAAAATCAATGTTCTAAAGCAGCAGTTCTTAATACTGTTCCCGCGTCCCCCTGCTCTGCACACGCTCTGCATCTCTCTCTCTCTCTCTCATTCATCAGTGAACCACCTCTTTAATTAAAAATTACACTTAGTCTGATTTTATCTAATCAGTTTTTTTCAATGCTGCTTCAGTGTCAAAATATATACTGGGGCCACAATTTGATTAATTTATGCAAATGCAGGCTATAACCTCTTCATGAAAAGAAATCAACAATTCTTTTTATGCAACTGTACAAGGCCTAGATATA